AATTAAACTTATTTTATCATAAATATCGTTAAAAATTGAACTAAAACTGTACCAAATAATAAGTTTATCTAATACTAGAAGGCCTTTTAAGGTTTTTATTAATAATATTTATGGGGAGAGGTAATTAGGTCAAGGTTTGTCATGTATAATGTAGCTGTATTTAAGTATGCTTTTCTCATATGTTTCCTAAAGTATTCCACGTGATATTTGAATGGTTGTGTAAGAATGTTGTGTTTGTTTATCCTGGAACTCTGTTAGCTTTGGTTAGTTTATAATTTCGTGTTATTTGTTGTTTATTTATTTGTGTTTTTACTACGTTTAACCACACTGGCAGGCATATTTTATTACTGATTTCTCACGAACAAAGGTGTTGATGTTTTGGAACTTCAGCTCTCCTCCTGGTATACATGATCAGCAACAGGTATTTCAGCATTTTTAAAGTCATGTGAATCTTTGAAAATAGCCTAACTTTTTTGTAACATCAATTACCTTATACAAGTTCCAGAGAATCTCGTAATTTGTTGTAAAAATTTAAAGAAGCCTGTAACTGGCTGAATTTAACACCACAGTCTTATTCGTTATTTATTTGAACAACTCATTGAGTTAATACGTTTTGACCACCTATCTACTGTACAATAACGCAGTCAGGAAGTTATGGCCTCGATGTTCTGCTACACACGAAAGTTTGATACTTTTTCTAAATGTTGTCATTTCATCTTAAATATATTTTCTCTTTCTCTCCCTCTTTTTTGCCCATCAGTGTTTCTGTGTTAAGTATGTGAAATTATGATGCTAAAATTTGAGCTTGGGTAGCTGTGGTGGGCGCAACACAAATATGTGTGTTTAAAAAGCTGGTGCATTGAACTTTGACCTTTAGTAACTCCTTTCTCTAAGATGCTGATTAATTTTATTTTTATTTCGTTTGTGTGTTGATACAATATCCGATTCTTATACATATTTCATTAATTCGTTGTCATCATAGTAAATATCTCAACTGTTCAACGCTTTGAGCCACAACTTTTCACCACCATTCAAGATCCAACACTACGAAATTTATGTTTCTTACGAGATCGAACCAAATGGTTAGGGCCTTCGACTCCCCGTCTGGGGTCCCTTTTTCGGATTTCTTCATTCAAAACATTCACCTTTTCAGTCGTATGGGTGTTACAGTTTTAACTTCAATCCCACTATTTACTCATAAAGAGTAGATTGGAGATTGTGGTGTTCACTAGCTGTTCTTCTCTCTAGTTTATTACTTCAAAATTAGGGACGGCTAGCGTAGATAGCCCTCTAGTAGTGTTGCGTGAAAAATGAACAATCAAACGCCACCAACTGATTATTTTCATTGGAAGTTTAATACTTATCATCCTGTTCTATATCAAGTTTGAAACCGACTGTTCTGAGATTGGTTGATCCTTTTTTTTTTTCTATTCATCGTAGTAACAACTTTAATAGATTTGATAGGTATAAAACAACAGATAATTTTCTAAAACGTTTTGAGCGTACTTTAGACTTTTTATATATTTTCGCAACTTTGATATATGATTTCCGAGAACAGTAGCTTATTTAATATAACATTAAAGGGTGTGTTTATTTGTAATCACGTTAACCATAAGTTTGAACTACTTCTGTATCGCAAAAAATCAAGTTTCATTGCCCGCGGGGGCAGAGCACAGATAGCCCGTTGCATAGCCTAGCGTTGAACAGTAAATGCTTTAGTAGCAAGTGATCGTTATAGCCTAGGTACATTCCTGTGTGAAAAAGTTCTAAGTACGAATTATCAACTCCTTTAAACACATATGTAACTTTCAAACGCCCGATTTTCACAGTTTAACACTTTAAAGTAATGACTGTTTTACTCAATGAAATGTTTTGTGTATGAAAAATTTATTTTTTTAATTTACCAAAAGAAAGAGACAGAATGTATTTTCTGTTCTCTAAAGAAGGTAGTAAAAACAAAACAAAAACAACAACAACATATATTTAAATAGATGATCAAAATCAGATTGTATTCTTAGTTCCACCACAACTTAAAAACCATATTTAATAATCCACTAGAAATTCAACACTTCTGTTGCTTTATCAAAGTTTTATTTTCTAGATAAATGCAAGATAAAGCATAGATAGAGGATTTTAGAACAGATGCATGTAACCTGTGGTAGTTCTATGGTCATATTAAAAAAGGCAAGAAGGTGTGCTGTATAATCATTATAAACCACAAAGTCGTGGTTCTTTGACTGTGCTGGAGTTATTGGTCTCTAGATATTTAATGCTAGTGATCCTACATCCTTTGCTTAATATATAGACATTAGGGCACCAAGGTAGTACCCACACTGGTGCTAACATATGAGAGTCATTCTTCTGGCGCATTCAAGTCAAGATGTCTGATGCTGGTGTAAATACTTTATGGTGTGTCCAAATAAAGAACCACCAAAGAGAGAGTAAACTATCACACAGGAGTGTTGGGTTTCATCTTTAGAGGATAGCCTAGGATAATACTAGTCCACTCTCAGAGATTAAGATAATTCATTAATACATACTTGTGACTATTGGCTACTTCACAGGTTGGCACAATCTATCACTGAAGTTTTGGTGGAGTACCACAGCACAGATGGGCTTGTTTGTATATTTGTGTAATTACGTTCTTAAGACTTATTATTCCACTATTGTATGAACGTTTGCCTTCTACTTGCCTCATCTAACGTGGCTTTCTTTGTTGCAGCCTCCCTTCTCCTTTGGGGGTTAAATTGTATCGGGATGGCTGGTTTGTTTTAACCTCCTACTCTGCATTTCCTTCATTAAAGCATCTTTCTCAATTCGAATACAGGGTAAACCTGGCCTACTTCTTGTCTTTGTTGCTTTTGATAACAGTGCTTCATATTCTGCATAAGCTTTTTTGGGACTACTTCTTCAGAGATACATTATCTTGTTTTCACCTGATGCAAAGTTCCTCTTCTATCCCACCTTACTCAGATTTACATCTTTTTGAAGCCCTTCAGAGCTTGGAAGTAAGTTGGTGGACACCTGCCACATACATATCTGGGTTTGCATTTTAGTGTTGAGCAAATCTCTTTGCTCTTTGTATTGGCTTTATGCTTGACCTTATATAATTCTATGACCACAACTTTCCACTGCCTTTATTGCAGTGGAGTACAGTTCTGGATGCTTGATCACTTACCAACACCTGGTCTACAGAAGCAAATTTTCTCTAGCTCTACATCTTTGGGCTAAAGAAATTGGCATATCTATATTTTATAATGTGAACAATTTGATTAAAGAACATGTACAAAGTAAGTTAGTTTAGACTTAAGTGGAAAACAATGTCACTGTCTTAACCAACATCATTTCATCAGGTTATTGTTGTTACTGTACTTACGTGTTACTCAGTTTATAAATACCCCAATGTTATAAGCAGGTAAGTTTACTTATGTAAAAACTTAAATAAAGACAAAATTATAATTTTATAAATTATGCTCAGATTCAAGTTCAGAAAACAAACTTAATAATGATATAATATGTACATCTCAAACACAAGATATTTAAAATTAAAACAGAGGAATCGACTGTAACACATGCACGTTATGTCAACACTGTAACGTGGATCATGAAAATAAATATTGTTGTACTAATAAAGGTGTCCGTTTTTAACTCTTGTATGCATCTAACATTTATTATCCTACACTCGAGTTATGATCGTATTCTAAATAACTTATTGCAAATAATTTAATTATTTGACTTATTTATTGTGTGTGTTGAAAAAACTTCTGTGCACTAAATTTTGATTTCTAGTAACTACTTTCTCTAAGATGTGAATTTTTCCATTTAGATTTATTTATTTTTTTCTTGCTGTTTTCATAAATTTCTCACTAACCCTAGTACATATTTATTTAATTCCTTATTTTAATTATAAAACCTTTCACTTTTTAACGTTTTGGGCTACAACCTTTTACTATAAATAAAGATTTGAACGTTATTAACTTATCACTTACATTTAAAGTTTGATATTTATCATCCCAGTTTGTAACCAACTGTTGTCACATTGGTTGATTATGTTTTTATTTGTCGTAGTAACATTTTCAGTATGTTTGATACAAATAAACAAAAATATCCTTTTTAGAAGAATATAACATTCAACATTATACAGTTTATCTTTATCATCACTTTTATTTAAAGTTTAATATTTATCATCTCCGTTGATAAATAAATGTGAAACCGACTGTTACGTCATTAGTTGACTATTTTTTATTTGTCGTAGTAACACTATCAGTATGTTTGATGCATATAAAACGAAAAGATCCTTTTTAGAAGGATTTAAACCGAACTTTGCCTTCTTGTGTATTTAATATAGCGTTCAAGATTGTGTTTATTTGTAATAATTTTAACTACAAGTTGGAACTATTTTTAAGTTTTCCGATGGGAGAGCGGTATGTTTATGGAATTACAACGCTACAACCCGGCGTCTGATTCCCCGCCGTGGACACGGCAAATAGGCCAATGTGGCTTTTCTCTAACACAACAAACAAACGAACTACTTTAAAATAATTAAATATCAGGTTTCGATACCTGCAGTGGTCAGATCGTTGATAGTTCATTGTTTAGATGTGTACTTAACAACAAACAAACAAGTTCTTTAATAACACGTGATCATTATAGACATGGTTCGTTCGTGTGTGAAGAAAGTTTCTAAAACACATTAATGAACACGTTCTAAGTACGAATTATAAACTCCTTTAAACACGTGTAATTTTCAAATATCCGTATTTTCACTTTTTGACACTTGATAACATAGTTTTCCTCATTGAAATATTTTGTGTAAAAATAACTTCGGAGACTTTTTTTTTATTTATAAAAAAAGAAACAATGGATTGTTTTTCTTTAAGCCAGATACTGAAATCACAATACAAATTTAAGTAAGTTATCAACATCACACGTAACCCTTAGCTCAATCACAACTTAAAAACTATATTTAATAATCCACCAATAGAACAGTGTTGTTGCTTTATGAAAATTTTATTTTCCAGATAAAGATATTTGAGAGTTAAACATATCCCAAAAAGAAGGTAAACACGACAGATTCAGATTATTATATTATAGGTAATATGTAGATGCCGGTCCTCATCAGCTGTTAAGTGATCCGTTGAAGCTGTAAATATCAATAACATTAAAATACTTAAATATTAATGTAAATTCACTTAGAATAGAACTAATAACATTTCATTAAATGATATCAATGTGACAAAAAATATCAAAATACTGACCAATGCTCTAAAATAAGAACATAACTTTGTTATACTTGGATTGTATAAGCTCATATATATCTTAGTTTCGTATATATGGTTTTGTATATATATATACATAGTACAAGGTGTTGCTATATATATTGACAAAGTTTTAAACAAATGTATAGGACATAAACACAGTTATCTTTGTTGACCAATAAACGTATAACGTTCACTGTCTCAGCATTATTATTTTAAAGTGTAGTATACGTGAAGCCTTACAGCAAGGGTTAATTGTGTCATTCTATATTAAAAAATCGTCAAATAATTGCTAGTCTGACTGGTTGCTTTGGCATATATCTCTATAAAGTGTAATAGAGTGGGAACAGAGTGTAATTGTATTATGTTTCTTATGTGTTTGTCCTTTTATTTAATAAAGAATATGTAAGAGATATACGACTAATTATTTTAATCTTCCTTCAAGAAGTGAGACCAATAATAGTAAAGGTGATGTATTTTGTTGCTAGTTTTACTCGAAAATTATATTCTTAAAACTTAAAATTTTTAACAACGTCAATTTTAACGAAATGTTGATTTTGAGACATAACATTTTAAATGTAGGGTACTTTATCAATCCATGTAAGGAAATGTCGATTTTTATTAAGTGTCTTTTTTTGGCCTTCTTCAGAAATGACGTGTTTACTAAAGTAGAATGTAAAGTGGAAACCTAAATTTTATAACATGTTTTCATAAAATTAACAACTTTGGAAAATAAAAGAATAATTAAAGAGATAGCCTTCTATACTACTAAACCAAAATTAAACAGTTAATTAATAATAATAATTACAACATATTTTAACTTGTTATGGTATTTTTTTACTTAAACTAAAACATGTGAATAATTACTACAAGGTCTAACCTTTATACGACATATTATGTTATTTGAAACTACAATTTTTAGATGTTATTGTAAATAATAATGTTTATACATTTTTCAACACATAAGGTGTTCAAGTCCAGAGATAGTTGTTTAATTTACTAAATATGTTGATATATTTTAACTTTATTAACTCACATATTCACAAACATTTGTTAATCAATTCACTGAGTGTATATTCTGGATCCTCGTGAAGTTCTGAAAATTTCTCATTGACGCATTTTTTCACTTGCTGCAGGAATATATAAACATAATTTAATGTTATTTAAGATTAAAAGTTTGAACAAACATAAAATATATTTGTATACATTTTAAAGTGAATTACGGTACTCTACAAATATTTTATCAAACTTAACTAAAACACCTAGAATAAAATTTGAGACTGGTGTCACTCGAGAAGCTGGATATAGCCTTGTTAGGCGTAGTTCAACCCTGAATTCGGGTCCATTTGAGTTCACCTTGTTTTAGAAAACAAACTCGATACTCTGTCTGGTTTAGTTCAGTTTTAATAATTTGTTTATATGCAGACCTATCTGTGATACATATAAAACGTAACAACTCGTATATTCACAATCAAAGCAGACTTTTACAATCACTAGTGTGTTTCAGATTTTGTGACGTCAACATTCGAAACGTATATTTAAAGTTGATTATTTATCTAACGATACTTAATTATTAAGTTGATTAAGTATATATACAGCAATATAAAACTATGATGTTAAAAACTGTTGAAGTGTGTTCCGCATGAGTCCATATTTATGTATATATAATTCCGCTAACGTATGTGTGAAAAAAACCAAATGCATGAAATTCCAGTAAACTACAGAAGAATGGGTTATATAATATATACCTACCGTAAACTTAAAACCTCATTTCTATTATGTGTGTTATAATCTCGTGCGTATATAAAATTACAGAGTAGGGAAATAAAATAATTTTGTTCCTGTAGTAGTTCTTTGTACAACATACTAAAATAAAGTCTAAAATTGCATTATATTTAATCATCACCTGTGCATCCGCTTCTCTTTCTTCTTTGCACATTTCATTCAAGAACTCGTGTAAATTCTCTGTAGGAAATACTGCCTTTTCACACTCTCGAATTGCACGTGGAAGCTTGAGATGAAAAACACTTTCTGTTACATCAACTTTAATATTACACTCTACAATTATGTTTTTATAACATTTAATTGTAAACATGAATTTATGTATTAAGAACGATATAATTATTATAAATTGTACTTTTAAATATGCTTCTCTTCTGTTTCTTTACAATCAACTTGATATGTTTATTTAAATATAAACAACTGCTCATAAACTGAAAGTATGCTACGTTCTTGAAACAAAGACAGATAATTAAAATACAATTAAAACAAGGAAGTAAGATGAAATTACTATCACATTGTTTCAGACCTGTGACTTATGTCTACATATAACAATATGATGAAATATTCATCTATACCACGGTATAGTTTACAGAAGGAAATATTTTCTGTTTATGACAGAATTTCCTTCTCCAACCTTGAAGCTTGTTAAATATCAGTTACAAACTGGAACTGGTTTGTTAATATTCGTAACAAATTCAAGTTTTAAACAACTTATGAATAATTTTCACGATGTTGAAGTTTGGAAATATCGTTAGATACTTTTCTATCATATTTGAATATTGTCGTTTTAAACCTTGATTCTTAACATCTACTTTTATTGTGTCAAACTAACCCTCAAGATAAATGAAAGTTTATGTACAATTCGTATATCAAGATAGCTTTTTACTGAAGAGAAAACCGGTTATTCATAGTAAGAAAACATTGTTTATCAAATTACAATAAATTAACGAAACACGATTAATTATAATACTTCAAACACCTACCCAATCTGCCTTTTCACCAAAAACCTTTGTATCACAGTCTTTTATCTCGTTCAGTTTTTACCTTAGTTATTAATTTTAGTATAGCTGTAAATTAGTTTAAATTACTGGCTGACAGATGTTGGATGAATGATATAAAAAGGTTTTCTAAGCTGAAATTTTCACAAAATCAGCAACATCTTCAAGATGAACGTTGTGTTTGCAGCTCTTGTTGTGCTCGTAAGCCTGACGATGACGAAAGGCAACGTTATAGACATAGGTTTCCAACTGTACTGTAGTAAGTTCATTTTCAAACTTTATTGATGTATAAAATATTAAGTAATCGTATTACTTCATTAAATGTTGTCTTTTTATTATTATTTGACCATTAGAAAAACATAGCAACAGAAAACTAGAATAAAATATTATTAAAGCAACTTTTATGATCTATTATTTAGGGTAACTTCTTCCTTCTAATTAATAAAGTATTTTTACGTGAGTTGGTTTGTAACATGAGAAAAATATCCTCCTAAGGTAAATCAGACATGTACTTTTTTATGCAGAGATAAATAAAGAGAAGCCGGATGTTCTATATGATGTTCACATGCCTTTCACCCATTGTAACACATACATCTACTTAAATGCTCTATATGATGTTCACATTCCTTTCAACCATTGTAACACATACATCTACTGAAATGTTCTATATGATGTTCGGTTGCCATTTGGTTTTAGTAAAGTGAAGCTCCCACAAGAATGAAACTGTAGACAAATAGATTTGAATCATGTGGTCTTACTATACGAAGGGAAGTCACCTGTGTTAAGTATGATCACTCCGTTATTGGTTGTTACCAAATGAGATTTGTCCAATACGAAAAGAGATGTGAAATGATTGGTGAATAAATTGTAACACATACATCTACTGAATGATGTTCACATGCCTTTCAACCATTAAATGTTCTATACAGTAGATGTATGTGTTACAATGGTTGAAAGGCATGTGAACATCATACTTAAATATTCTAATGTTCTATATGATGTTCACATGCCTTTCAACCATTGTAACACATACATCTACTGAGATGTTCTGTATGATGTTCACATGCCTTTCAACCATTGTAACACATACATCTACTCGGTAGATGTATGTCTTACAATGGCTGAAAGGCATGTGAACATCATATAGAACATCTCAATAGATGTATGTGTTACAATGATTGAAATGCATGTGAACATCATATAGAACATCTCAGTAGATGTATGTGTTACAATGGTTGAAAGGCATGTGAACATCATATAGAATATTTAAGTAGATGTATGTGTTACAATGGTTGAAATTC